AATTTTTCTAGAGATTGAGAAAGTATCAGTTGAAGCTCAATCCAACAAAATTTAGTTTTAGAGTTGTAACTCCCCATACCCAGTCACGAAGAATAAATTAGATACATAAGCATACATTCTAAACTTTTCGGACAGAACAAAAACCCTAATCATGCATACTTTGCATAAGCATTTAAATTTAACATACATCATGCAATACATGGCAACATATTACAAATAACGATTTAAACATCAATCAAAACTCAATGTATTGCAAGATATACGAAATTAACTACACATGGGTAAATCAGTCATTTCACACAATCAAATAATTCTTTGAAAAATGGTAATTTAATTTTCCCAATATTCATTATTAATTATTAATCAATGACGTGCAAATTTCCATATTAATCGGACACCAAACAAGTACCTAATAGAATGCTTTTCTATGAACTATAATGTAAACATTTCAAAAGTCACATAAGAGCAACAAACATGCAATTGACACCTTTATTATGAAATTCAATGTATTAAAGTGTGACAGAACAAGTCTCATAAAAGTCTGAGTTAAGGTCTAATAATAATTAGCGATTCAATTTCTGGACCATTTTAAGCTTCTATAAACTTCCTAGGGTCAAACTAAGACTTAGGGATACTTTGGAACTTTAATGAATACAATTTTACCATTTTCATTGAGCAAACTGTGAAGGTATTGATCCTTTTTCACGGGGACCGATCCTTTGCAAAATAGTAGGTTTGGGATCGATCATCTTTATGGAAGGGATCGATTTTTTTTCTAGATTTTTGATTGAGTTCATAAAAAAGTGTTTGAATCTTCAACAAGACAATAATTTTTGTTTGGACAATTACAATTTATTTCTATTTTACAACAGAAATGAAGAAATTTATAATGGACTTGTAACTAATTGTCAATGACACCTAATAAAAAGGATTTGCTATGAGTAATTGAGGATACATTGACTAACTATTTGCACTTTATTACAATTTGAACAAATTATTCGATGGAAAAGTATTATAATATATATTAGAAAATTTATTCGATTTTATAATTTATATAATTGAATAAGTATGCTAGAGATCTAATACTTATCTTAAGATTTTGGAGATTCCTTGAATAAGATGTTAAGGAAAAAATTATTCGACCTATTTTAATTAAGTAGGTTGGGAAACAAGTAAGAATGACTGAAGACAATATTGTTCAAATCGATATTAATTTTACTCTAGTCACGAGAAAAAGAAGATGGTAGAGAAATATTTGCATCTGTTTAATTTAGGTAAGAAAATTAGAGTTTTCTTAAGGGAGAAAAAGTTGTAATACTCCAAAAATTTGGTTAGGGACTAAAATGAAAAGTTTAAAGTTTTGATGGTTGAGGTGAAAATTTAAGAAAATTTGGAACCCTCAAATGATAATTTTTCCAAAAATTATTTGATCTCATAAATAGATAGTTTACCTATGAAAAATGGGTTGGAAATAAAATTAAGAGATTTATTTGGGATTTTTATTGAAAGGAATTAATAGTTAAAGTTTTATGAAAGTTTTCAGATAATCAGATCAAATAGAAATTTGATAATTTATCTCTGGCCATTTGATTTAGGCGAGAAGATGTAATTTCCTAATGTCAGGATAAATATAAGCTAGCAGATTAAGATTATGGATTCTTGGAAGAATTAGTACCATTGAATTTAAATTAAATTTTATGTTAAATCTTAGCAACTGGATTAGAAAAGGTCATTATTGAAATTTAATTTTACTACAAGGGCACCGTTGTAAACCACTAACAAAATATAAAAATTTACGCATATTGATGATGAGTTTGAGAAGGGACACATTATGGAACCACTGAATTCAAGGATAAAAAAAATGGCAATTTTTCTAGAATTTGATTTTTTTAATTAAATTGGTTATTCAAGTTTCATTTGGGATATTGTGAAAACGAAGAAAAGAAGACTTACCTTTCTTTTCCAAGCTACTCCTGGCTTCTAAAGGTAAGGATAAAACTTTTTTTTTATTGATTTGATTTTCCTTTAATTTACTTAGATTCAAGGTTAAGACATGAAATACAAGGTTGATGTCTCTTGCATTTTATTTCTTTTGATACCAATAATTCATGGATTCAAGCTTTCACGTTCTTCATATTTTAGGTTAGATATTTTATGGTTTATGCACTAAAATGAAACAAAACTAGATTATTAAGGATTAAAAATTGCTTTATCAATTTCATGCTTGAATCAGGATAAATCTTTTGTTTGCGTTAAAACCCCTAATTCAACATGTTTAGGGTTTTATTAGAGATTTAATTTTGAGATGTCCAATGATATATAAATAGATTACATGCTTGATTATGATGTTTGTAAGCCTAAGTGGCCATTGAGATAGCTTGGAAAAATAGGGTATTGTTTTGGCAATTTTTAAAATTATAAATATTAATGTGTAGATGTTAAATACATGCTGGAAATGAGTATAAAACTGATCAATAAGCTTTATAGTGTTTATTGAAGTAAAAATGACCGACTTTTAATTTAAGGGACAAACGATAAAGACAAAAATAGAAGATTGAAGTGTAAATGATGAGTTGATGATGGGTATGGATGGAAATAATAATAATATATTTTATATGTAATTTAAACGAAAAAGGGCCATGTTGGATACATTTTATGACTATTTCAACAAAATGGAAAATTTATTGTTTAAAGTATAAATATTGTATTATTTTATGTGTACGATGGATGAACATAATATATGTTAAGGGATATAATGGGTTTATTGAAGTTTGGAAATAATATTAGTGGCCATATTACCTATTCAATCATTTTGAGAAAGATGGAAAAATTATGGTAAAATTTATTCGAATTGTTGAGTACAATATTTTATGTTTGGTTTGAATTCTAGCATAAACTTTTAATTCTATATGTTATTGAAAGTATAGAGAACGTATTCATGTATGCACAATGTGTTGATAAGTATAAAGAAATGGAAAAGGAACCAAGCTTGAACACATTTGATTTCTACATGTTGATCTTTAGCAAGCATGATAAAGTTTAAGGACTAGTGGAATATAAATGGTAGTGTCTGGAAACTCATTTGGTTGCTTCATATTCCATAGTGACTCCGTTCCATCATATGGATTGCTCTCAAAGAAAATATAATGACCAATTGTGAACGGACTAAACATATGCTTACAGATAATCCAACTTTTCCTTATTGTGATGCTCCCCTTGAATCTTTCTTTCATATTTTCAGAGAATATACTCGCGCTCGAAGTTTATGGAGTTGGGTTGTGCCTCCCTTCACTTCTTCTCTAGTGCCTTAGGTCACAGATTCTTAGCAACCTTGTGCAATTTAAACCCCTGGAAAATGGAGTTACCTCATGGTTCTCTCTTTCTGCTTCCACCATAAGGTAACTCTTGAAGCAAAAAAATTATCTTGTATTCAACAAGGTCATGCAACTGACTAAGAGAACCATACGTTGGAGACTTAATTGGGATAAATTCTATGGTTATCCTAACCCAAACTTACTTAGGTGTCAAGAGAAAATCATATATAAACCAGAGTGGATCAAACTTCCGCTAGGTTGGACAAGTCTAAACATTGATGGAGCATTCTCTACAACCAATGGGGAAAGCTCAATTGGAGGAGTTATCCGAGACTTCGATGGATATTTAATCATTGGATTTTGCAAAAATTTTGGCTTAAAATCTATCCAAAAAGATGAGCTTTGGGGCATAAATGAAGGCCTCCTTGTTTCATCGAATATCAATTTTTCTAGAGTCGTCTTGTAATACGACAATGCCAAGCTATTAAGATGTTTTTTTTTTCTATTGATAACTCTCTAAAAGAGATATCATGTATGATCATTTTACCTAGATTAAGCTTGAACTTTAGCATCATTAGAATCATATTAGGAACATTTTAGATTTATTTGATCATATTTTGCATCATTTGCATTATGTGAATAGTTGATGGAACTTGAGCTATTTTTGTTGTTTTTATGTTGAATATGGTATGCTAATGTTGTGGCAATACTATATGTTGTAGGTGATGCTGTGAAGCGATGCTGTATCAAATTACTATGAGTGTTGATTCATCAGACGGTTGTGGAAGATTATGGAAAGAGGACTACTGTTAAAGTAGTTTTGAAATGGCCAAAATATCTTGATATTTATGGACTATTCCTATTGGTTGAAGGATTGACTATTTCGGCCTACATAAGGAGGATGGAGTCACCCTTTTCGCAATCCTTTTTCACCAATTAATTTCTTCCACAAATTTCTCTCTTCTAAGCCATGGCCGCCTAAACCATTCACCAAGATGTGTAAGAATAGTTGGGGGAGCATTGCCTTGTATCAATGACGATCGAGTGGAGTTCTAATTTAGTTTCATCCCTTTGCTTAAAAGAATGAAGTGACATTTATTAACTTAGAATATTTCTTAATTTCAGAAGTTGTGTGCTTTTTGAACTTAAGATGTTCAATGAAATGGTTTTATTGCAATTATTGCTTATATTTTTGTTTTCATGTGTTGTAGCTTTTATAAGATGAATCTAGAAATGAATTTATCTTTATGTATATGACTTTGATAATTTTTAGAAATGAAAGTTATTGATTACCATATTGCAACATTGGTATTGCGAAAGTAAGTAGCATATGGAAACATGTGATGTCAATAATCTTTGCCTTGTTAACTATTTAATCATTTGGATTTGTGAGAATTGGTTTTAAGTGATTAAGTAGGGTTAATCTTTGCAAGTCACATGAATGCATCTACCTTAGAATTATCATAATGAAAATTGCCAAGAGATAGTTGCATATTCTAATCCTTTGATTTATTAATATTCAACATGTTAATGCACTATGAATCATTGAAGTTGAAGCTATTTCCCTACTCATTCCGTGACAAAGCTAAAGCATGGCTCACTTCGCTGCGACCTAGTGCTATAACATCGTTGAATGAGTTGGCATAAAAGTTTTTTCTCTTCTTTAACCCTCTCAACGTGAATGCTAAATTGAGGAATGATCTTAAATCATTCAAGCAAATAGAGGATGAGAACTTATATAAAGCTTGGGAGCGTTTCAAGGATTTGTTACGTAAATGCTCGATGCATGGTTTCCAATATTGGACACAAATTGAAATGTTTTAGAATCGATTGAATATGAAAATGCGAATGGAGCATTGTTGGATAAAAGGTACAATGAAGCCCACAATATGCTTGAAAGGATATACAACAATGACTATTAGTATCGTAATACAATGAATATGTTCGATAAACATAATATTACAGTAGTGGGTAATAATGGTATTAATACGATAGATACATAGATGAAAGCATTGACTAAAATGATCAAGAACATATAAAAGCCTAGAGGAATGTATGAGGTGAAGGCTGCATCTATTGAGTCTTATGTGTATTGTGGAGAGAAGCATAACTTCAACGAATGTCTATAAAACCCTAAATCAATGTATTTCATGAGGAATTACAATATAAATTCTAACAAAAATACATATGGAAATGGTTACCATTCCAATTAACGAAATCACCCTATTCTGTCTTGGAGAAGACAAAATGTAAGAAACCCCAAATTAGAATTCCAATCAAACTTCAAGAATACACGACAACATTATCAGCCATAGCAATAATACAAATAGAGTAGAATATGCACCAGTATCAGTCACAATATCAGACAGTATAACCTCAATAACGTCACAACCAGAAGAATTACCAAGGACAACATTCGAAGCAAGCATCATCCTCAAATTCTCTTGAAACTTTTCTAAAATAATACATTTCAATGAATGAAGCTGTTATCCAAAGTCAGAAATTATCTCTAAGAGCTTTGTAAAATCAAATGGGACAACTAGCAAATGGTATGAGTAATAGACCATGAGGAACATTGCCTAGTTACACTGAAGTTTCAAAAGCACGTGGGAAGGCTCAATGTAATGAACATTGAAGGTGATAAATATGCAAAGTAGCCTCCATATTAGGAAATCGGTTAAAGAATCAAAGAAGAAGAATGATGAGATGAATGGAAAACAAGAGAAATATAAGGAATTGGAAACTGAGACACCCACTATGGATGTTACGACAAAATATGCATAACAGTGTAGTAATTATGGAATTTTCCCAGCCACAATTTCGACAACACCGCCTGTAATGCCACCACCGATTCTAAGAAAACCAAATCCCAGGAATCCACCACCATTTCCTCAATGATTCAAGAATACCAAAGATGATCAACAATACAAAGCATTCATTGATGTCCTAAGGAAATATACAATCAACATTCTATTGATTTATGTGTTGGAACAAAATCCTAATTACATCAAGTTTATGAAGAAAATTATTTCCAAGAAGAGAAGGTTTGGAGAGTTTGAAATTGCTGCACTTACTGAGGGATGTAGTGCTATGGCTACAAGTCACTTGCTACCAAAACCTAAGGATCCAAGGAGTTTCACTATTCCTTGCATTATTAGTGATTAATTTATAGGTAAAGCATTATGTAATTTAGGTGCTAGCATTAATGTCACACCATTGTCAATTTTCAGGAAGTGTAGAAGTAAGGCCCACCACTATGACTCTCCAACTTGTTGATCGTTCTACCTTATATCCTAGTGGTATTGTGGAAAACATGCTAGTTTGAGTGGACATGTTCTTTTTTCCCACCGAGTTTATCATATTAGATTGTGATTCCTACAAGGATGTCTCAGTGATACTTGGATACCCATCCTTGCTACCGGTTGAGCTTTCATTATGCTGAGAAGGGAGAATTGACTATGTACTTAAATGATGAACATATTACTTTCAATTTTTGAATAATGTTTCATATGAGAATAACAATTTTGTATGCTACTATGTTGATATTATTATTGACTTTGTGCTAGAAAAATGGGATGATTGCCAAAACATTGATATTATTACGGGTAATAATATGATAATAAACGAGCAAGAGGAGAATGAGGAGGTTGAGGGAAATTGCATGCAATATTTTGAATAATAAAAGATGCCATCCCAACCTATTCAGGTTCCTCGACCCTCTATTAAATGCTACCCACTATTGAGCTAAAGCCTCTTCCTGATCATTTGAATTACACATTTTTTTTGGAGAAGATTCAACTTTACCTGTTATTTTTATAGAAAATCTGAGAGCATTACAAGAGGAACAATTTCTTAATGTTTTAAGAAAACATCAACGAGCAATTACCTAGAGCATACCTAACATAAAAGGTATTAGTCCAACTTTTTGTATGCATAAAATATTTCTAAAAGATCCCAAAAATAGTTTAACTGAGCAACAGAGAGTGCTGAATCCTATTTTGAAAGAGGTTGTTCGAAAGAAATCATCAAATGCCTCGATGCTAGTATCATCAAACCTATTTTGTAAATAAATTTGGACAGTCTTGTCTAATGCGTGCCAAAGAAAGACGACATCACTGTTGTAGCCAATGAAAAAAATGAATTAGTTCCTACACGTATAATATTGGATGGTGTATATGCATGGACTATAATGGATAGGCTTGTTGGCAAAGGTTTTCATTATTTTCTCGATGGATACAGTGATTATAACCAAATAGAAATTGTACCGGAAGAGAAAGGGATGACTACTTTCACTTGTCCTTATGGCACATTTTCCTTTCGAATAATACCTTTTGGTCTATGTAATGCTCCAACAACATTTCAACATTGCATGATGGATACATTTTCTAACATGGTTGAAGACTTTCTTGAGGTATCCATGGATGATTTATCTATTTTTGGCCAAAGCTTTGAACAATGTCTTAACAAATTAGCCACTGCCTTGAAGAGATGTGAAGAGACAAATTTTGTGTTAAATTGGGAGAAATGCAACTTTATGGTGACCGAAGGCATAATGTTAGGGTGTCGTATTTCGCATCGTGGCATTGAGGTAGATAAAGCTAAAGTGAAGTTATTGACAAGTTGTCACCTCTCACCAATGTGAAAGGAGTTAGGAGTTTCTTAGGGCATGTTAGACTTTATCGCCGATTCATCAAGGTATTTTCCAAGATTTCTATACCACTATGCTCATTGTTGAAGTAAAATAGGAAATTTGTTGTTGATAATGAACTTATTCAGTCCTTTGTAACAATCAAGCTTAAATTAGTAAATGCTCATATTGTTGTGCCATCGGATTAGAATTTTCCATTTAAACTGATGTGTGATGCTAGTGATCAAACACTTGCTACAGTGCTGGGGCAACAGAGAAACAAATCTTTCTATGATATACATTATGCTAGCAGAACCTTAAATGAAGCTCAACTCAACTACACAACAATCGATAAGGAATTACTTGTTGTTGTATTTGCCTTTGAAAATTTTAGATCTTACCTTATTGGAACAAATGTGATTGGCTGTACTGATCAGAAAATTGAAGGATTTGTTTTCAAAGAAAGACACCAAGATGAGGCTAATGCTATGAGAAAGTTGATGCAGGAGTTTGACATTGAACTAAGAGATAAGAAGGGCTCCGAGAATCAAGTGGTTGATCATTTGTCTCGTTTGGAATTAGGGAGTGAAGATGGGAAAATACATGTCATTCCCAATCATTTCCAAGATAGAAGTCTTATTATTATTAAAACATTGCCTTGGTATGTTGATTTTTTTGAATTATCTCATGGATGGATTGCTTCCAACATATCTTAATCCACAAGGAAGAAAAAAATTCTTTATAGATATATTCAAGCATGTCATTGAGAAGAGCCAAATCTTTTCAAGAAATTCAATGACTAAATTTTGTGATGATGTGTCTCTAAATGCGAGCAACAAAGTATTATACATCATTGCTATGATGCGCCTCACGGTAGATATTTTGTAGGCATGCACACAACAGCAAAGGTTCTCCAATTTGGTTCTTACTGGCCATCATTGTTTAAAGATAAGAATGAATTTGTCAAGCATTGTGACAATTATCAAAGAAATAGAAGTATTTCTCACCGCAATAAAATCGCGATGCAACCTATTTTGCAGATTGAGTTATTTGATTAAGGGTTTGGATTTTAGGGGACCCTAGCCATCATGTTGTGGTAATCTTTAAATTTTTGTTGTTATTGACTATGTTTCCAAATAGGTTGAAGTTGTAGCATTACCTTTGACTGATACTAAATTTGTCTTGAATTTTCTTTATAAAAACTTTTTCGATTGCCTTAGAACTCTAAGAGCATTTATTAGTGATGAAAGATCCAATTTCACATCCAATCAAGTTGATAAGACCGTGCACCAATATAGAGTAAAGCGTCACATTGCTATAACATACCATCCTCAATCCAATGGTCAAGCCAAAGTCTCCAACCAACAAATCAAGCAAATTCTATCGAAGGTTATGAATCCACTGAGGAAAGATTGGTCTTTACGCCTTAATGAATCACTATGGACATATCAAAAAACCTAATAAACCGCATTGGGCATGCCTCCCTTTCCCCTTGTGTGTGGAAAAGTTTTTCATTTGTTCATGGAACTAAAATATAAAGCAATGTGGGCACTTAAAAGACTAAACTTTGACCTCAATGATACTGTTGAGAAGAGAATGTTCGACCTTAATGAAATTGAAGAGCTTCACAAATATGCATACGAAAATTTGAGAATATATAATGACAAGTGCAAGAATTGACATGACAAAAACATCTTGTATCAACAATTCCATGCTAGGTAGGGAGCTTGTATTTTTATCTGATTCTCGTTTGATATTATTCATGGGAAACTGAAATCTCGTTGGTCCAGGATATTCAAAGTCATTGAAGTATATCTTCATGGAGTCGTGTTGTTAAAGAACTTTGTGGATCGAAGCACATTAAAAGTCAATGGACAACGTCTAAAGCATTATTGCACTACCCAATTTTTGAATAACCTTAGTGTTGCATACCTAGTTTTTGAACAACCTTAGTGTTGCAGACATGGATTCAATCAGCGCCGACCTTTGTTTACCCATATGTGGCTGAATTAAATCAGCGACTGATGCTTATACTATTAAACAAGTCTACCTTAATCTGCTTGCAAGACTATGGTTTACTTTCCTTTGTACTCGTTTAATGCCTACTATCCATTATTCCACTATGACGAAGAATCTCATATTGTTGTCACACTCTATTATCTTTAG